TCTAACTTTGCAACTACTTGAACCAAATGTGAGTCCAAGCCAATCTCCTCCATAGCTTCTCTTAATGCTGTAGCAGAGTCATCATCATCTCCTTCCTCCATCTTTCCACCTGGCAATGCTACATCGCCTATTTCCTTTGAAGAAAAAGTACTTAAGCATCCACAAATTTTTGACATGTGTTCTTTCTCTATCAGAGGAATTCATAATTTTGGATCCTTCAAACATGATATAACAGTTATACTTACATGTTCAATTAAGAAACAAACAACATTTGTCCATTTTACCTGGGTGTGATGATAACTTCATCGATCTCTTGGTGAGAATAACGCGTAGCTCACCTTGCTTGCCCTCAAAGAGGCATATCAAGACAGCTGCTCTTCTGTTCCTCCAGTTTGCATGAGTAAATAGCCCATTTTCACCTTCTACATGATCCATGGTCCCAAAATTTGAGCCCATACTATGACCGGTAATGTTCTCCAATTCTTCAATCAGACTAGGTGTTTTGTAACATTGAAGCTGTTCTGCAATCCTTTGGAGCGTCTGGCTGCCTAAATTCTCCTTTCTTCCGCATTCCATCTCAGTATCTATGCTTATAGATGGAGCAATACGGGCCAAGTTTACAAGCTCTGCAACATATATACAGAGCTATACTGTGATATGTTCTGTTCAAAGCATTAAAGGATGTACAACAGTAATGCTAAGAACTAAACACAGTTAAAAGAGAAACTTTGTTAAAATCGAGCTTATACATTAAGTGATGAGTAAATACAATCATTTATATCTTACATACATGGTTAACACTTGTAGAGACAGTGCATGACAAATACTAAGTGATAACTCTATTTCATAGAGTTATTTTGCTATATTTCAGGTGTTTAAAGGATTAAGTTCTTGAGTTTTAGGTGTAGTTTAAATTGTTTTAATTGCTTTTTCTTTAATGAAATAAAAACTTGTCAATTAGATTAAATGTTAGTTAGTTTAGTTCATTTATGTGTTAAAATATTTAATTGTAGTTGCTATTGATTTAGTTGCAATGAATTGTGCAACAGGTGGATCGATGCACATGTGTGATGAACATGCTGTGGTTTTTTAAGCATAAATTGAGTTACAGATGCTTGATCGTCATGGTTTTTGGATCACTAGAAAGTCAAAAGAAAGGGTTACAATTTTTATATTTATTATTTATGAAAAATATAAATTTATTTTATTCATTGTAAATAAGTCACTTTAGTGTTCTTTTATATTTTTAGCCTTATATACTTTCTATATTACAGACTAACCGGTACTATAAATAGCTGGTTCTTTTCATTTTCTAGACATAAGAAATATTCCAAAATTTTGTTATTCAGTTTTATGAAATTTCCAAATTCTTCATATGGTATCAGAGCCCCGATATGGGTTTTTGATTTGATTTTTCTTGATTCTTTGTAGATTCATCTTTCAATCAACCGATTTATCATTCTTTTCTTGATCTTTCTTAGGTTTTTTTTTCTTATTGCAGTTTTTAATCACCCTGTTAAAGTTTTTGCTTTTATCTTTTGTTCAGATCTATGCTTCTTGGATATTTTTGTAGATCTACAAATCTCTTGATTTTCGTGAGAAGATTTGTTTTTTCAAGATTTCTTGGTGTGTTTTACCATGGCCAACTCAGTAGACTCAACACATGCCAGTTCTCCTTTAAACAATCCACATTCTGCCTATTATGTGCATCATTAAGATCGTCACGGCTCAGTCTCTATCACTCCGAAGCTCACTTCGAACAATTACTCAGCATGAAGAAGGTCATTTTACCTTATCCATTCGCAATAAGCTAAGGTTTATTGATGGTACGATTCCTCAACCTTTGGTTACTAATAAACTGTAGATGTCGTGAATATGATGTAATAATCTAATTACTGCTTGGATACTTGAATCTTTAACTCCATCAATTGCTTCCACTGTCTTTTATATGAACAAGGTGACTTAAATCTGGAAAATCTTAAAACGAAGATTTTTATTACCAGATGATGTTAGGATTTGTAACTTGCAATACACACTTAATGATATTGCTAAGGAAATAAGTTAGTTGATCTATATTTTACTGAGTTGAATTCTGTTTGGGAAGAACTTTGTAGTTTTCGTCCCTTACCCAAATGCACTTGTGGAGGTTTTCAAGATTTTGTTAATCAGATGTCTAAAGACAATGTGTTTTGATTCTTAAATGAATTGTATGATAGTTTTCCTGCTTTACGATCACAGATCATTATGATGAAGACTTTTCCATCTTTGGATGAGGCATATAATCTTGTTCTGAGAGAGGAAAATCAAAGAAATTTTTATGTCATGGATTAACTATTGAGTGAGATTGCTGCTATGTCAGTTGTCACTGGTGAAAAGCCAAAGGGGAATTCTGATCTTACATGCTCACATTGTGGAAAGAAAGGGCACTTAAAGGAAAAATGTTATCGGTTGATTGGTTTTCCTGTAGACTATAAGTTCACTAAGAACAAATCTAGCGCTAATGCTAGAAGAGGTCAATCTCATTCTACAAATAATGTGATTTCTTTAGTTCAAATTGATGAAGCTGGGGATGAGGGTATCAATTCTCTAATGTCTCAAATTAGTCTTTCTAAGGATCAAATTCATAAACTCATATCTTTTATCAAGGAACAACCATCAATCAATGATCATGACACCCCTACAACATCAAATCAGTAGAGTATAGCTGCTTTGGTAATTTTAACTGAGGCAGGTAAGTCTTTTAATCATGCTCATTATTTCATTAATGATTCCTGTTCATATGCCTTTATGAATAATATTCCTGCTTCAATGTGTTCCTTTTTGAACAATAATGCTTGGATACTTGATACTGGTGCTATTGATCATATAGCTTGTAATATGAAATATTTTACTGTCGATAGGAAAGTTCATAATAAATTTGTTCAATTACCAAACAAAATCAATGTTTTGGTATCCCATATAGGCACTGCAAAGTTAGGAAATTTGTTTTTAGAAAATGTTTTATGTGTACCAAATTTTAAGTTCAATCTAATTTCTGCTAACAAACTAGCAAAATACCAAAGACAACATTTATTTTTTACTGATTCATACTGCATCATATAGGATCTAACTTCCTAGAAAGTAACTAGGGGTGCTAGAGTGAGGGATGGCTTATATCTCTTACAAAAAGAGTTGGATGCACAACTAATTGCACAATTTCAAAAGGACAAAAATGTTGTTTTTCATTCTGTTAATGCTTGTAATAGTTTGTCAACTGTTTTTTATTTGTGGCACTTTAGATTAGGGAACATTCCACCCAAGAAGATAAAACAAATTCATCAAGATTTTCCTAATGTTTCATGTATAGAAAGTTTTCTTTGTGACATCCACTTGCAAAATAGAAAAGACTTCTTTTCCTAATTCATGTACCTACTATTACATTTGCTTTTGAGCTAATAAATGTTGATATTTGGGAACCATATGAAGTGTCTACAATTTCAAGACATAGATTTTTTCTTACTATTGTTGATGAATATACTAGGTTTACATGAATTTTTTTAATGAAATACAATTCGGAAGTTTCTATAGTTTTACCTGTATTTTATGATATGATTTTGAATCAATTCAATGTATCTATTAAACATATAAGGTCAGATAATGGTTCTGAGTTTAATCTTACTGATTTTTTTAGTTCTAAAGGAATTGTGCACCAACTTTCTTGTGTTAAGACCCCCAACAAAATGGTATTGTTGAAAGAAAACATCAGCATCTATTAGTTGTAGCTAGATCACTTTTGTTTCAAGCCAGTCTTCTTTTAAAATTTTAGGGTGATGCTGTTCTAGTTGCTGCCCATATCATAAATAGGATACCCACACTAGTTTTGCATAATCAAACACCATTTGAAAAGCTTTTCCATAACCCACCTTCATATTCACATCTTAAAATTTTTGGTTCATTATGTTTTGCTTCGAATTTATCACACGATAGAAAGAAATTTGAACCTATGGCTAGAAAATACATTTTTCTAAGATATCCAGTAGTATTAAAGGCTACAAGCTTTATGATCTAGTTACACATAGTATCTTTATTTCTAGGGATATTATATTTCATGAATCAATATTTCCTTTTCAGCAACATCAATCAACCTCACAATCTGATTTTGAATTTTCTTCTTCCCATGTTTATCATTTATCTCACCCTCTAGTTGTTCAAGAAAACCAAGATTAGATAAGACTTTTCTCACCCAAATGACTTGATTTGTAGTTACTGCTACTATAATGTACTTTGCTTTTATAGAGGATTAGGCTGTGATTTCTTGTTTATTTAAGTTCTAGCAGAATGATCCATTTCCAAAGGAAAATACATAGCTTGAAGTACTTCTACTATCATCAATGCATCCACTCCAATCACTGTCAGATAAGCCAACCACTTCAATAGAGCTCTGCATTAGAATGAATGAAATAAAGGCCAAAGTCAGATGTCCCATCAAGTATCTATGAACTTTTTTCGCTATTGTGAAATGCTCAAAGGTTAAAACCTGCATAAACCTTGATAATTAACTCACAGCAAACATCAATTCAGGTCTTAATGCACAAATATAAAGAAGTGATCCTATCAAGCTTCTGAACATAGAAGGTTCCTCAAGTTTTGAACTTTTATCAATTGATAGCTTCTCTTTGGTAACAAGAAGAGTCCTAATGGACTTGCAACTATTCATACTGAACTTATTCAACACTTCTACAATGTAATTTGTCTGAGTTACATAGATTCCTCTACTACATTGTGAAATTTGTAATCCCAAGAAGTAACTCATCTATCCAAGATTAGTTATTTTGAATCTTCTTTACATTTCTGATTTGAACTTTGAAATTCTTTCTACATCTCCTCCTGTAACCAACATATCATCAACATGTAATGAGATGATTAATGGATTTTGGTCACCTATCTTTTGCACATATAGAGTTACTTCATTGTAGTTTTTTTGAAACCTTTGAGTTTTTTAGTATTCATTAATTTTACAGTCCCAAGCACGTGATGCTTGCTTTCAACTATAAAGAGCTTTATGAAGTTTATATATTTTGTCTCTATTAGACTCAACTTCAAAGCCATAAGATTGCTCAACATAAATTTTCTCCTATAGGTCATCATTCAAGAAGGCATTTGATGTCCAAATGATATATTTGCCATTTGAACATAATTCATACAGCTGGTTGAAATCGAATGGTATCCATTCTTGTAATTGGTGTAAAAGTCTCATGGTAGCCTACATCAAGCATCTGAGCAAAACCTTTAACTACAAACCTGGCTTTATGCTTGTTCAATATACCATTAGAGTTTTTTCCTAAATACCCACTTCATTCTAAGGACATGATGATGTTTAGGGCTGCCAACTAAGCTTCAAGTCTTGTTGAAAGTTATCATGTTGAGCTCTTCCTTATGGCTTTAATCCACTTAAAAGATTTGAATACCTCTTCTGGTGTTGCTGGTTCAATTAAAGCCATATGAGAAATCCCATATATGTCAGATAATGATTAAGTGCCTCTCATAAAAGGTTTATCTACTGACTACTCACTATCAAGCATGTCATCATTATTGACAGGATGAAAATCAACATTACCATTTGGAATTATTGTATACTGAACTTGTCTAAGCTCTCAATTCCAATAAGCTCTTTCATCAAATGATACATTTTTACTAACAAAGACCCTACCTGTAGCAACTTGATAAATTCTATAAGCCTTGGACTGTTGACTATAGCCAATGAAGATTCCAATCTTTGCCTTTGATTGCAATTTGTCTCTAAGCTCATTTGTCACATGTTGATAGCAAATGAACCCAAAAATCCTTAAATGATCAACAGAAGGTCTAACACTGTGCTAGGCTTCATAAGGAGTTTTATTGTGGATAGTTTGAGTCACCAAGATGTTTCATAAATAGACAGAGGTACTTGCTGCTTCAACCTAGAAAGATTTTGGAATACTTTTCTTAAATAACAGACATGTTAACATCTCAACAATTGTTCTAATCTTTCTTTCTCTGATCCCATTAGGTTCAAGGTAATATAGAGTAGTCAAATGATGATGAATACTTCTTCTTCTAGGAAACTTTCAAAATCTAATGAAATATGCTCTTTACCATTATCTGACATCAATGTCTTAATTTTTCTACCAAATTCATTCTCAACTTTGGCTTTAAACTTATAAAATATGAAAAACACTTCTAATTTATGCTCCGTAAAATAAATCTAAGTTATTCTTAACATGTCATAATGAAAATGACAAAGTATGTCCTTCTACTTAGCGATGACTCATTCATAAGACCAGCAATATCAGAATGAACTAAGTCTAACCTATTGACTATTTTGTTGAAACTCAATTTGGGAAAAGGCTTTTTAGTCAGTTTACCAAGTTAACATGAACTGCACATAGAACCATGTTGATGTAATTTTGGAAGATCAAGTAATAAGCTTTAGGCACTAGCTGGCAATAATGACTTATAATTGCAATGACGAAGCTTTTTTGTGCCACAAGGATGTCTGCTATGATGATGACTTTATTGCAGACAAGCATACATTACTCCATTTCACAAGAATCATGGAAACTGACATCAAGTACACACTTGTAAGCTCATAAATTGTGCATGCATGATTTTTAAATAACAGCACATAATCACCATCAACTAATTAAACTACACTCAAAAGATTTGGAGATGTTTTTGGAACCAAAAGCACATTGAGGATATACTTGGTGCCTAAGGTAGTTTTTACAGCTACTTTGCCTTTCCCTATAGCCTGCAATATATAGCCATTTCCTACTTTCACTGTTGAATGATGATTAGCATCTACTTCTATGAATAATTCAACCTTAGGAGTCATGTGGTTTGAACATGCACTGTCAAGAAGCCAATGATTCTCATCCTTTGAGCTTAACTCTGTGGTAGCCATGAATAAAACTTCCTCTGCCACATCAAGCTTCTCAACCTATGTTGAAGTTTGTGTTTTCTTGTTTGTTGCATCAGCTTTGTTCTTGCAAACTCTTTCTACATATCCTAACCACTTACATGCATTACATTTGACCCCAAGTCTATACTAACAATAAGATTCTACACGACTTCTCTTTTTATAGTAAGAACAAATTAAAAATTTACCTTTTTTATTATGAAACTTTCATATATGTGTTCTAGCTTTGTCTTTCTCTTTAATTTCACTTGAATTCTTTTTGAAAGAAGAATATGCATGTGTTTTTTACCTTCACACAATTAGAAAAAGCATTGTCAACTCTCTCATCTCTCTTTGCAGCTCTCCTCTATTCATCAACTTCTAAAACATTCACCAAATCAGTGATTATAAGTTTCGAGATGTCATATACCTACTGTAGAGAAGTGACTATGGCATCAAACCTCTCTGGTGAGTTGATCATAACCTTCTCCTTAGCTTTCTTATTTGTAAGAGTCTCTCCCATTAAGTCAAATCTGATTTACCAACTTCATCACTACATCAGCAAATTCATGCATTGTTTGACTTTCTTTCATTCTTAGAAGTTCATAATGTCTTCTAAGGTTTTACAAAAGCATCTGTTTACTTTTAGCAGAACCCATACACTCCTTTTTAAGCTTGCGCCAAGACTGTTTTGCTGTCTCACACCCCATAATCCTACTAAAAACCAAATCAGACACAGCTGAGTGTAGGAAAAACAAAGCCCTCTGTCTTTTCGCAATGTCCTTTTCATATTGCTTCACTTGTGCCTGTGAAGCATTCTCATTCAATATTGGTAGTTCAGTCCCGTTCTCAATAGCCTAAATAAGGTAGTTTGAACTATCAAAGATAGGTGGTGTTTATTAAGTAACAGTTGAAGTTGACATCGTTTGAAGAAGAGTTAATTTTTGAAAAGTGTAAATGAAGGTTTTAGGATTAATTTTTAGAGTTTTAGATGGCTCAAGGATCGGTGGTATGCTTTGATACCATGATATGTTTTGTTCAAAGCATTAAAGGATATATAATAGTAATGCTAAAAACTAAACAAAGTTAAGAGAAGAGAAACTTTGTTAATATCGAGCTTATACATTAAGTGATGAGTAAATACAAGCATTTATATCTTACATACATGGTTAATACTTGTACAGACAGGTGTATGACAAATACTAAGCTAAACATGCATTACACAGGCGAAAACTCCTTTGATCTATCAAATCAGTACAACGAAGCAAAATGGATCCATGTCCAATGCCTAGTTCAGAAAGTGAACAAAACTCATGCTAGTTTTATCTCAACATACTGGAGGAAAATCACATCTCTTTGATTCCAAGTTATGAATTAGGTGGACATTTTGACAAGCTGCTTATGCAAGATTGAGTATGTTACCCGAATAATCATGATTCGGATATGTGCTCCACTAACTCCACTAGTAGAACTGACCTTTAAAAATTTTTGGGAATGTCGAGTTCAATTAAACAAACTAATCTGCAAAAGCAATTTCCAGGAATATTGACAGAAAATGAAAGAAAATAACTGATCAAATCAAACGATATAAAAGTGACTAGGTGGCTTGCACATCCGACTTCTCTCGTTCTTATTGAAAGCATATTCATCAGAACATAGAATAAGAATGGAATTCTGAAGGAGTCGGAATTTTGTTCAAATTGCAGCTGCAGCAGCATCTATACAATGCTTGTCCGGTAAAGTTACTATTGGGCGTATTTGGGTCTGAAACTAGACGAGTTTGGACTTACGGCTGATGTGTTAAAGATGGGCTTGCCTCATATCGTGAAAACTCTGTTAAGCTTGAACTAAAAACCCAATAGGATAAGATGATGCCTTCCCTGCATATTGACAGCCCATGCGCCAAAAGAATCAGGAAAAAGACAGTCCGAGAAAATATCCAAAACCTATGCTAAGCTAAGCTAGTGTACGGGTCAATAGAGCCATGGATTACAGCTGCTAAACCTTCAAAGAGTCAAAATCAAGAAAAGAAAATGAAACAGAAAAGCTGACGGGTGTGACAGCCATGTTGGGCATTTTGTGCAGTGAACGAAGAAGGATGTAAATCATGTTTACAGGCCCAGGAAGATTCTTCCGCCCTAGGAGAGGACGTTTTATTCTTCATGCGGCTCATCAAACATGGGTTCATGTTGAACTCAGGCCTTGTTTTTCCTGCTCGGAATACCAAATCTACTTTGATTAAGCAATAATATTTCAGCAAACTAATTTTATTGTGCAAAATCATGCATTGATTCTCTAGATTGATATATAGTTCACATTTAAACAGAGAAAGAGGTTGTTACGATAATTGTAATCTGTCCTGTCAGCGACAGATAACAAATTAAGATTCCGAATGTCTCTTACCAATTATAAAATAATTGTCAGGAACGACAGGAGGGATATGTCTTCTGCCATGAAAATCTTTCTTGTTTATAGCTGGTTAGCAACCAATATCAGAAAGTTGAGTTTCCATCAGGGAAGAGTAGACGTGGGTCCCAAGAAAATTGGGATTATTTACTGAGAAGAAAACATTAATCATATTGTTTGCTGAATATAGTGGTACGTATTTGGTTTTCTACTTCTTCAAGCCCTGTCCACATGCAGATTATCATCGGAATCTGTCGTTGTCCTAGGTTTAAAACGACTTGCCTAATCATCATGTACAATGAAATTATGTGGCATTGCTTTGGTACAACTTATTATACTCTTGGAATGAGTTAAGTTCTTATCATATCAGGGGGTAAAAATGGGGTCGGTGGAACTACAATAAACCAAGAAAAGAAAAGAAAATTAAGCACACAACCCGACTCCAATGTTGCCATTCAAGGTGGACCTGTCGAGGCCTGTTTCTCGGAAAGGCCATAGACGAGCACCCTTTGTTGTGATTAGTAAGTCATTGCTGTGAGGACAGATTGTCAGTTTTCAATTATTTTAAATTGAAAAATGTTTTCTATTTCGTCACATGAACATGACTTGCATGACTTAATCAAAATTTATAAACTCAAGATGTACTACTCGGATGCTTATCTAGTATCAATTATCAACATTCAAAATCACACCAAGGACCACGCATCCATATGCTAGGCAATGTTTGGCTATTTTTCTTCTGATGTACCTTTAATTTCAAGCGTTTGTAAATTAGTTCGGGCTTCCTCTCATATCTTAATCAAACCAGACAAGATTTTGGCTGTTTCTTCATTTTTCTTTCACATGTCCCTATCAACAATCTCTTTGTTTTTCCTTCATTTCATCTTCATTATCCTAATCTATCATTATAAAAGGAAAATATTCTTCTTTTTTGCTATAGTTTTGGTATCATTTCCCTAACTAAACTATAGGTATATATGATTTGCAAGGTTTACAAGTTTTCATAGAAGCATCTAGGTCTATAATCACCTAACATCTCCACATATTTGTAGCAACTTTCATAGTAAGTAATTCTAAAGCCAATAAAGCCTTGCTTTAATAGTAAAATTGAGGTACTGGATCTTTAAGATCTTAACTGACATGCAATGCTTGATTCTTATTATAATTACCATTTATACATGCTTCACCATAAACTGAAGAAAGGGTCGAGACTTAATCGATTCCAATTCTATTTTTTAAAGAATTATCCCTCAATAATTGGCTATCCGAAGAAAAAGAAAGTACCCTTTAATTTATATTATATTAGGTAGTTAGGATTAATTTTGGGAAGCATAGCTTTATATATTTTCGAGATCAAGCCACGGTGCCAAACCATGATTTCTGAGGCCAAAAACAAAACAAGCATAGTTATATAGGTAAGTTAGAAAAGTGGTGGGTACGGACAGGGGGAGGCCATCCCTTGGGGCCTCATCCCCCAGCCCTCACGCTCCTTGATAAAAGAATGGCGATTGCCACTCTTTCCACGTTACCACGCAATGGTACCAACCATTCTTCACTGTTTCAACAATGACACACCGCTTGTCACGACTTCCATAAATACTCTATCTTATTTAAAAACCCTCTGAGACCCGACCCCTTTTAGCTAAACCTACACTCCTCCATTATTTCCCACATGGCTGCTAGTCCTCCTCCTCTGTTATCAATGGCGCCTGACGATCCTCAGCAAGACGATCACCTTCTCTTCTCTCGTGACAGACACTTCGCTTTGCATGGTGAGATCATGATGCTTGTTTTTCTCCTACTTTTTGCTGTCTTTCTTTCCTTTCTGCTCTTCTTCCTCTGCATAAAACGCTCCCACAGAAATCCTAACCTGCAAGAATGTTATCCGTCCGAGCAAGTTTCGCCATATAAATTCTCCAATGTCCCGTCCAAGGGCAAGTCGGGAAAGGGTTCAAAGCTGATGATGAATCAATCTGTGTAGCCGACTGTACGGTGTGTCAGACTTTTGGATCTGTCTGGAACCTTGGGCTTGAGTTTGGGTTCATGGAACAGGCGACCAGGGCCTGCCTTCTGCCACATGAGGCTGAGGATAGAATCGGCCATGAGGTGGCAGCTACAGAATGGTTTAGATAGGGAATGCAGATTCTAGGCATAAAACATATGCCAAACGTCACCTCGAGATTTGGTTGTATTGGTAGATATTTTTCATGTATTGGACCCTAGTTAATAATTCAAGAAGGTACTTCGAGTTTTCCTTGTACTAATTGCTGTCTTCTTCCTTCTTCTAAACGTTTGGTGTCATTTTCTCTCATGTATATACTAATCGTGAATAGTCAGGGCATTTGATTTAATGGTAATTGACTTAAAACATAAATTTTTTATTTTGAAAGGTGATTTTAGTAGCATTAAGCCACCATGTCATCCAAAGTCTTTTAATTTATTGCTAAAGACTTTATCTAGAATGAAACATCATAATTAAAATATACATTTTAAGAGAGATTAACTTGTTCATTGATAGATTGATAAAAATCAAAATTCTACGCACAAATGACTAATTCATTGCTTTTTTGTAATGGTCTTTTAAAGGATCTCTCTTTCTTCTCTCTCAGCCTTCTTTTTAGACATGTAAATTTCTTTTTATTATCTTAATAAAAATTTCATTGCTTGTTTCTAAAACAAAAAATAATTAGAATAGTAAAAAAAAGTTATTAAATAGTGAGACTTATTTTGTGAGCAAGGTAAGTTCAAAGATGTAAAATTCTCCGCTTAAACTTGAGATTAATTTGATTTCATTGGCTTGATTGGCAAATATCAAAGTAGTTTTCTTAACAAGTTCATATGGTCTTGATGTTTAATTTTTCTTCAGTACTTGGTGAAATTGATTTTGCTGTTATGAACTTCTATTTTATGAAATTAATTAAGCTATACTTTTAAAGGTTGTTTTATTGACTTTAATTTCAATGAAAACTTAAAATTGAGCTCGTATTTACTTGAACTTGAATTTGATGTAACTGGTTGGTACTGCAAATTCCTATATCAATCCAAAATTTAAGTTTCTTTACCATATACCATCCCAAGTTTGGAAATTTATATAATTAAGAGTTAATGAATCTCGAGTTTGGCTTAATTTTCGATTAATGGAATCATCATCGGCTAATCATTTTTTCATTTATTTTAGTGAAGTTGGGCTATTAAAAAGAAAACTCATCTCAATTAGATAACTTAATCAATTTCATAAGGCAAAAATATTTTATTTTTTGCTTTTCAAAAATAATAAATATTTCTTTTGTTAAAAGTTCATACCTTAAGGTCTCAAGTTCGAGTTCTGGCCAATTAATCTATGACATGTCTTTCCCATATATGGTTTCACTTTCTTTCTTTTTTCTCTTTGTTTTGTTTCTTTTCATTGAAGAATTAGTATGTAATTTGGTACCAGAAGAACATTCAATCGGGCCAATTTTGTTTTCCAATTGGAATGAAAATTGCAATAAACATGGTTGAAATATTATGATAAATAACGACTGCATTACAAATTATATATAAATAGAAGGTTGTAGTGACATATATATGGATCTGAATTCAGTAATCAAGTATGTTGATGCTATTGATCTTTAAGATTGATCCATGATTCAAATTACGGACCGCAATAAGGCTGAATACAGACCGTAATTAGGATGTATTTGGTTTAAAGTGGAGCTTTTCTCGTATTTTTAGAGAAATAAACTTCTTAACAGATGGATTAACAAAATCGAAAGTCTATATGCTAAGAACTTTTACATTATTATGTAAATCTTTGCTTTTCAAACAAAAAAAGAAAAGTGAAGCGTCCCCTTAGCTATATTATCTTTCGAAATGAAACCAAAAAAAATTGCATATAGTGTAAATATACATGAACATTCAAATTTATCGTAAGAAAGTAATAAGAAAAGAAGAAGGAATGTGAATTCGAAGTTATCTAAGAAAAGAAGAAGGAACGTGAATTCGAAATTATCATATAAAAAAAATTTATCACATGTATGTCCACCGAAGCATCACGTGACATGCGTTTTTCACAACGCATACTTGCCTTAACAATTTTTATCCTTTTTAAGAATTGAATTCCAAAATTTTGAATCTCTTTTCTTCATAGGAGCATGCATGTATCTACTCTGGAAGTAATAATTTCTTTCTTTATGAATGAGTTTTTATTTACCAAAAGACACCTGCATTGAAGAGGAAATAGCCATTTCACCATTATTATTTTGTCAAGTTGTTTCAGCTTGGTATAGATAGAATTACCATGTATATATTCTACTTGTAAAGGAGTTTACTATCAATGACTTGCCAGATATAGAGAAATTAAGTACTATATAACCATGGTCATTGCAGCCCTAGAGATTCAAGCCTGGGAATTCAAGGTCTTTTAAGTGAGTAGAGATGAAACCCAGCATGGCTGGCTAACTTCAGATTTTGTCTGGCTTTTCCTTTCTTTCTTGTACTTTGTTTGCTTATATCCTGACTGAGAAATGTATTGTAACTTTTGCCTTGCAGGTACCATAGTTGCTGAAGAAACATCACCATGCCTCTAAAGGACCAAACTTCTCCAAATCCTGAGCAGATGTCCAACCCCGAGGGAAGCAACCCACCTTCTTCCCTTGACATTGTGGAGTTGACGTCCTCCCTCCAGGCCACTGAACCCCGCAGGGCCATCTCGTTGCACAAAAGATCTGCAAGTGACTCCCTAGTCATACTGAAGAAGCCTTATCTGGTTGGACAAAGCTCTTCGTCTCTCGTAACAGAGACTCAAAAATGGGGTCGGAGCTTTGAACCTACCATGGACCCCAAGAAGATGAAACGGTGGACTTATCTACATCCTCATACTATGAAACTGTTTATTTAATTTGGACAGGATTTTTTAACGATAAGTACTGACGCACCAAAATGCCCAATTTATATAGCGTAATCTTTCACGTAACACGCTTTGATTTGTTCTATAGATTGCTTGCGAACAGAGTTGCAGCTCAGAATTCGCGGCTGAGGAAGATGGAATACATTGAAAAACTCAAGAAAGACATAGAGACCGCGGAGGTAGCTAGTTTAATTCCTTTATCAATGTTACTACTATGTTTTTCTTTTTCTGATTTAAAGTTCAATGATCTTATATTCCAAGTACTTTATAAGCTCTCTATGATCTCTCTTTTGTCTATTTGGGTGACAATTGCAGGCCCAAATAGCGGCGTTAGCTCCAGAGGTTTCTTACTATAAACATCGACGTGCGGTGTTGCAACAAGAAAACGATGAAATGAAACAGAAGATTGAATTTCTTGAGAAAGAAGAGGCAAGGAAAGAAGGTGAATTCAGCAACTTTATCTGAGCCATTGGTGCATTGTGGACATTCCTGGAGCATCTAGATTCTAGACTGATCATCTGTTCATCTTTCTTTTTAACCTTTTCTTTTACGAGTTTGAAGACAAGAAATTAACAATTGACCACCTGGTTGCAGCTGAACACCAAGCATTGAAGGAAGAGAGAGATATGCTTGCCCTCACCTATTTCCTGCAGCAAGAAGACCTTTAGAAGAATACAGCTATATAGTCGGATGGCAAGATCCAATTCTCAAAACCAAAATCTCGGGTCCTAGACCTGTTAATTTAATATTCGCAAAGTTGCTAGTTTCCTTTCTGTTTTCAAAGTGTGGTTCTATCCAGGTCCCTGGATCATAAACTTTTAAAGTAATTTTCAAATAAATGAAATAAAGCAAGGTATCGAAGCATTATAATTCTGTTTAAGGCTCTTATCTCTATGGATCAATATGAATTGAAGCAGTTCATGCAACATTTTGTGAAAACATATCCCATTTCTTGCCAGGAAGACATGGCGGTCTTCTCGTTTGTCATAAAGAAAATGGAGCTGGAATTGTGGCGTGTCTTGTTTCGACATAGTTCTAAATTCAAATTTGATAAGGTGCTAGATAATCCTAAGGAAACGACAGAGAATCAGTATATAAAAAAACAAAATGGTTATTATCAATTGGTGTAATATTGGTACAAGACAATGAAAGAAACCTTCCTCTTGGATAAGTACCTCAAGATCTCACTTAGAATTGTCCCATTCATATAGTCAGATCTAGAGTACTTACCCTTCTTGCACTCTTCTTACTATGATCTTCTCCTTTCAATCTGCTAAGCTTTGATGAGGATGATGGTGAGTACAATGACAGAGATAACTCACTGCCAACATCGTCTTCCTTGGAACTTCGCTGGCTTTCTTCATTCACTTGTATTAGCCTCAGAGATAGATCCAAATCAAGGTTGCAATCTGGAGCCTTTCTTTTCATCGCCTTACACTCTTTTGCATTCGTTTTGTTTGCATCAGAAGGGCCTGTACTTCTGCTGAAACTTATATGCTCTTCTACTTTAGCTTGCGTTTGGCTTGTGGGGTTGTGCTCAATTGCGCCTAATCTTGACTGGGTTCGGAAGGATTCAAGATTGTGAGATGATAGGAATTCATTCTGCAGTTCATGGCTTTTCCAGCTAGGTAGTGCATTGAAGGAGGAACTGCCCATCCTGAGATTGTAATTGGTCCAATTGCTTGTACTATTACTGCCAAATATCCTCTCCGTCATTGTTCCATGCAGTCCTGGTCTTGGTTCATCAATGAAACTCCTGCTTGTATAAGGATTACGCAGCAAGCACTCCTGGCCATTCCAGGAAGCACCTCCGTATCTTGAAAAGAAGTGAAATTTTGCTTAGAAATTTAATTCCATAGTTGAAATATAGACTAGTTACATTTAAAAAATGTGAAAGGTTGGATTATTGATTGTTAATCTTGGTACCTGAAACTACTAGAACTATCGCCTTGATGATGATTGTTATATCCTTGCAGCATGGGAAGTTGGCTGAGGTTATAAATGTTTCGATCTCCACTTTCCACAAGATGCCTATGCTCGGTTGTGACTGGTCATGTAAAAGTAACTCGTATGCATCAGGGACGACCATTGATCGAAACCCTAGTAGTGTTAATTCAGTGAAAAGGAAAAAGAAGATGGAGAGATTGAAGTAATTAACGTACCTTGTCCAGGATCATCAATCTTCTTGCTTCTATACATCTGATGGAAAAAACCCAAAGGCAGACAAGGAAAACATTGTTAGAAACAAAATATCAAATGATTTCATTCACTCCATCTATATATGAGTATGGAATGAGAAATTATCAGCTAATTTACAAGCTTTTATAGCCATATTGACCTGAAGATGGCTCTTGACATGAGCGATGCTAAGTCCTTTTATATTCATCAGCTGAAGAACCAACTTTGGGGTAGCTCCTGTACCAAGAAATTTTTTTATTTTCCTACTTAATTACGACCAAAGTAAGATCAGACCAGAGATTGGGAAGGGTTAGAGATGGAACTCACTGTCTTGTCCACCGAGTCTCTCAACCGCGTGAACAAAACGAAGGTGAAGATCAGGTGTCCACCGGAGCCTTGGCATCTTGGATCTGACATAAGGCCTCACGAAAGGCTTCTTCTCATTCTCTTCCACCGTGCTGTTGCTTGAGCTTCCTCCATTCCTAGGCCTACTTTCACCATCATTTTCTTCCGTACTCTCACTCTCAGCCTGGTTTTGTTTAGATGGGCTTGTCTTTGAACATTCCGTGCCATTATTTCCCTCCATCTTTCCAGCTAGCTTCCGCTCTCTGTCAATATCCAAGTCTAGGAATCATAGCACAAAATAAGAAACAAAACATATGCACAGGGTGAACATAGAGGCTTGAAAATCAAGTTATACTACACTAATTTGTAGGGTTGGGCCTTCTTGGTTGATCAAAGCAAGCTTCTTTATCTTCTTTCTATGGCAGGACAGAGAGAAAACTGGGTGAAAGGAACCATCGAACTCTAAGCAAGGGCAAAACAAAGCTACAGGTCCTTGAACAGAAGGGAGGATATGGGAAACCCTAGATCTTGACAGGGAAGACAGACAAACCTGTTTCTTCTCCCCTTCTCTCTCTTGAGATTGGGACTAGTAAACAATAATATTTGCTCACATCCTAATGTATATATTACAAATACTTTATACTATCCATGCCATGCATGCATGCAACACATCCATGCATGCATGGCTCCACACGTCGATGTCAAGTCATGCATTGATGCCAACAATATTCAAAAGAAAATTAGAGATGTCTTGGTAATTGGGCATGACAATCTAAAGAAAAATTAGAGATGCATATCTTACTATTTCAAGAAAAGATTAATCAGGAAATTTTATTACAGTTATATACTTTATCAATTTTAAACTTGCTTTGTCGGAATCTAAATTGAAGTCCACTTACTTTAAAGTGGACTTTTGTTCTTATTAATTTTGTCTCTTGCCTAAATGAAATGAAAGACTTTCATATGAACTAATGGCGGCCGGGTTGAAATTGTTCCCTAACCCAAAATAGAAAAACCTCTTTTTTATTTATTATTCCATGAGTGTAATTCTCCCTAGAGTTTGACAAATAATATTTCAACAAATTCCTCGTGA